CTTTTTGATGGTAGGCTCATTAAACAAGGGCAGTGGAGAGGTGATATTCAAATTGCTCATGCATGGGGTTACCGATTTCCTACAATTCATCCTCTACCACCTCGGATAATTTGTTGGCACAAGCCATTGATAGATGAGATTAAATTGAATGTTGATGGAAGCTCCAAACCTAATTCTCAAAATGCAGCTGGTGGTGGTTTACTACGTGATCATACAAGTGCAATTATTTTTGCCTATTCTGAGAAATTTGGATCTAATAATTCCCTAAAAACAAAATTATTAACATTACATAAAGGTCTTTTATTGTGTCAACAACATAATATCTCCAATGTTTGGGTTGAAATGGATGCAATAGTTGTCATACATATGATTGAGACAGGATATAAGGGTTTCCATGACATACGGTATTTATTAGTCTCAATTAGATAGTGTCTACATCAATTCTCCTATTGAATTTCTCATATCCATGGAGAAATAAACCAAGCTATAGATTTTTTGTCTAACCAAGGCCACTCTCATCAGCATGTACAAGTATTTACTGAAGCTCACGGTAAATTACGTGGGATTATCAGATTGGATAAATCAAACCTTCCTTATGTTTGTTTTAAATAAATGTAAAAGAATAGTACTCCTAATTGGATTTTTATTATTATTTCTCTCTATTCATAGAATTGGGTAAAAATGAGATAGTATTCTCACTCCAACATCCAAGATATGCAGGTGGAACAAAAACTTTAGACTTTTCTTTAATTTTATACTGTGTTCATGTAATCTCGAAAGTACAGTTTATGTCTCCCTCCTATTTGTATCCGCTTACTTTATTATTAATAAAACTTTAACAGGGTAGTTGGGTTCTACAGTAACTTCCAGCATACAAAAAAAAATTGATCAAGGACAAACTCTGACCTAAAATTTTATATCTAAGTCCAACCCAAAATGGGCTGAGTTTATGGTTCGATCTTTGGACATCTCTAATATAAATTCATAATATATATTTTTAAAAATATTCATAAATATATTAAATTTTAATTTACCAATTCTTGTATAATGTTTACATTCTTATGCAAATTTTATATAGCAAAAGCAAACCCAAGTTCACATTATATATATAAAGGCATGATATCTGTCATCATCAAAACGTCAAATGTATAACTTTAGGGGAGCTTGAAATTTTGAATTGATAGGATTGATAATGATATCCATTTTATTATTTCTTATATATATATATAAAGTTATGAAAATATATGTATGAGATAGAAAGCTAAGATAATTGAAGACGGTCGGTCCGAATGATTGTTACTATACAAATTTGACCCTGAAAACAAGTTGTAAAACCTTGGAATATAGTGAGAAAAATTTCAAGTATTGTGGACAATATTTGTAAAACAGCTCATTCTCATTGTTTTTCCAGCCTACCATTCAAAATAAAACTTGCAGAATGCGACAAATCGAAATAGTTAAATTTACTTCTTTTCGATTTCGATATAAGGTAAGGAAAATAGTTCATTTGATTATTTCAATAAAAGTTTTTTATAGTCAAATTTTACAACTGAATTGATCACAAAACGACTACAATGCTTAAGTCCTTGTATAAGTGTATATCTACCAAGCTAGATTCTAATTCAATTTGTTTCAATTTTCCTTTTCCTGGTGAGAAATGGGAGCTCCGGCCATTTCGTAACATGTTAACCGCATGGTAGTAGGACTTTTTTGGCAGCCAACCCAAAGAAGTACTCAAAGTCTCGATCTGTCTGTCAATAGTCTGAGCCCATCTGGTCTGCTGTTCCTTGTATCATTGATGAGTGACAGACTATAAACATATAGAACGAGCAAGGAAGGATCGGATCATTGATGCCTCTTCATTCAGCGTCACACCGCTGCACGTTTCCCATGCAGAATTCATTCATTTCATTCCTTATTTGAAGTTCTGATCAACCTTTGCTTTGAAGGGTTGATCTTCCTCTTTCCTTTTATGTACAGCATATGCGTGATCTCCATTGATGGGTCAAAGTCATTTGTTTTCCTATTTTCCGTTTGAAGCAAATCAAATTCTCTCTTCTCCAGCTGATAGTTTTTTCAAATTTGGCCTTTGGGTCATAGGAATTTAATATGTCACCTCCAACGTTAATTCAGTGGTCAATGTGCCCTCCCACTAGACAATGGAAAAAGTGTAGCCAATGGCACTTTTTTTTTAAAAAAAAAATTAATATCTATATTTATAAGGGAAGATAAAATTTACTGTTAAAAAAGGGTAACAACTGTTAAGTTAAATTTGAGTTTTTTTTTCCTTAAAAAGCATTGTTTAGTATATTAATGAAAGATGAGATTATACAAAATACCAAATTGAGTCGACGTTATAATTTTCATTTGACAAAAAACAATAGAAAGACTCTAAAAAAAATTTAAAAAAACAATTCTATGTCACTATTGATCATTAAATTCGACTTGTACATAGATGCACTTGAATGTGTGTATTTGTACATATGACAACTTTTATGTGAAAAAGAATTCAAATTGATACTTTATAGAAAGCTATATCCAATTTGCTTGACCTATAATATATATAGTTGAATGAATAGGCGATTTGCATGAAATAGATTGCCACTAATTTGTCTGAAAATATTTTGAAGGGAATCTGTTTTAGGTGTTAATTATAAAAATATCCACAAATTAAACATAGTTGTTTACCCTTAATATTCAATGCATTGATGAATAGCCTTTCAAAAACGAGACATCCTATTCAGAGATGTTTGGGTCGGGTGGCCAGGCTTGTTGGCCCGACCCACCTCCGATCGAGTTTTTATATAAATTTTGAAATAAAACTGATTTTGAACAAATCGAATTGGACTCTTAACTTAGTTTTTAAATACAAAATCAACTCGACTTGTAAACATCTCTCATCTGATTTCGGAACTACAAAGATAAGCATTTTCATGACTTGATAAACATAAATTAAAGATGTTTCTAAGAAGAG